TAGGCCTAGACGTTTCCTCATTCCACCACCAAATTGACAACACCACCACCACCACTACCACCACCACCATCACTACCAACAGCAGCAACAACAACAACAACAACACCAGCACTACAGCCGCCATCAACAACGTTAGCATAACAGTAGCCGCTTTCTGTTTATTACTATCACCCATCCCTTCTTTTGTGCTTCTTCCCATGCCTATGAAATTTAACTCATTCCTCTTCACGTCTGACACGGTGTTAGCTCCAGCTTCCATTGTTTGCTTGTGTGAATGTGAGACAGTGAAATACAAAGGAGGCTTATTAACAGCTACTTTCCAAATCTCTACCATCTCCTATTTCGTTGTTGTGAGGCTATTTAGCTGAGACAATTTTGCATACTAACTTTCTCATTTGTGGGTCCTCATCTCTTGACGCATTCAAAACGCATTCAAACTCTGATTGGTTGGATGATTGAAGCTTACCAACTGATGTGTTTGTTGTGGGTTGTAGCTCGCAGAACGGACAGGCCTAGGAAGTAGAAGAGCACCCCCTACCTGATTATCTTCGTCTCGACTCAACATGTTTCCCACTCACGCACTCATTCACACATCAGTCACTCCCTCTCGTACACACACACACACACACACACAGACATGCAAAGAGCCAAACTGGGACCCTCTCATGTTGAGGAGTGTATAAAAATGGGACACCTCTGCGCTACTCTATCTCTCCTGCCGTAGCACTTGTTGCTGACTCCTCCTCCTCCTCCTCTCCCTCATCCTCGTCCTTGTCCTGTCCTCCTCCTCCACCTTTTAATATACCTCCCAACTTTTCCCATTAACTTTTCCCACATTGTCGGCTCAGTTGACGCGACAACACTTTTTTTTCGGCAGTAACGTTACTACCACTACTATTATTACTACTATAAACCCACATCCCACACCCTCCTTTATACCCAAAACCGAGCAGAGAATGAAACGTAGGTTGATTGAGCCATACCGATTTGCCACTTCATTCTCTCAATGTGTACACGTGTTTTAGACAAACGCTCTTTTTTCTATCCTACTCTCCGATTTGACTCCTGTTTTTTTTTTTTGTTCTTGACTTCTTTGTCCTTCCTGCTATTTTGCCTATTTGGAAAAAAAAATACTTTTTCAAACATTTGCTGGACTTTATCTGTCAATTGGAGTTAGCAGTATGGAGCAGTGTGTGAGATAGGTGGTGTGTTGTCACCTATCACTGTCCTTTTGACTGCAACAGTACACTCCATCACCAAGCGTAGGCACTTTTATGTCTAAGTTCAAAGTCAGTTCTCATTTGTGATCCAGGGATTTGGTCATTGACACTGACGCGACATCTCAAAGTTGGCCCTTTGGAACATTCCAACGCTTTCAAACGTCGCAGCACAGAATGCAGTCAGTTTTTATGACACTTTGATTGCACTATAACTTGACAGGCGATAGTACAGTCACATCCGACTCCAAAGGTGCTATTAGAAGTTTCAAAGTTCACCTTTCTGATTCCCTTTGTCTATCCACACTCGGACAGGCCAGAGAGAGGATTCCTCTGTCGTAATTGTGTAGCAGGATATTGTTTGTCAGTAGTAGTCAATGCAATTTGCACTCCTTTGACAACTCTCACTCCTCTTGTTGGGAGGAGGAAAGCATGCCTAACTGCAGAAGCAAAAAACCAAATTTCCTTTGGTACGAAGTGCTGCTCTTTAATATCACGTATACACTGAACCTTAGCATCACCTTTCAGACGAAATCACCATTTGACAGGTGATGTGTCAATCCGATTTGTGTCCTGTTGCCCACATTTAGGCGGATTTACCACGCCTGTCTCCCTTTACCACGGAAAACTGATTGTGCTGTGCTTATCTCAAGCCTTACTAATGCGTGAATGTTTAATGTCAGTAACAAAAAAAAAGATGTTTCTAGGATCTGATTACACCATCCTGTGGTTGTTGTCATTCGAGATGATACTCGCGTCATCACCACACAACGACACTGAAACGTATGTACATCAGGCAGCACAACCCCTGTTGATGGTGCTCGCCTCACTTTACGTGCTCCTAAAACACAGCCCAAAAGTGGAGGTCTCAGAGTAATTTTTTAGTGTTTCGTCAATCCATTGTTAGAGCCTTGTTTTCACCTGCTGTGCCCCCTTCCACTTCAACATTTCATACTCATGAGTAAGGCTTGTTTTGTTAATCACATACATTCGTATCTGGCAATAAAAGTGTGCTAGAGCAACTCCCACTTGCCTTGGATACAACTGTTGTAGCATTCAATCATCATGGGGCTACTTCAAGAGAGAATACCTTCATTGTTTTTTCTTCTTTTTTTGCTTTTATTGTTCACAAACCTGCTCGACACTGTAGCACCTGCAGTGAAAAGTGAGTTTGTGAAATCCTCTTGTTGCCGAGGTGAGATGTCATGAGACATGCAGAATGAGCATGATGCCTGGGAGTGAAGAACAAAGCGGGTGTGTCGCGAGGGCTTTACTTTTTGGTACCCTGGGCACCCAGAGGGCAGTGACGCTCAGACAAAAAAATAAGACCTTTATTTCACACATGCTACAATAAATTACGTGAAATAAGTACTGAAATCCATTTTTAATAAAATTAAGTAAGTTGAAATTGTTTTAGTTACCATTTTAAAGGGAAATGAGACCTTGGCTGATGAAATGGTCAAGCATTGTCAACAAATGGCATAACTGTTCGGTTTGGAGTGCTTGTCTTAGAAGATGGTGTGAGAAAACGAAGCTTTGATAAATGATTGTCTGGCTGATAAACTTTTACATCATGTGACTACACCATCTTGTGACCAGCGGTGGCTTTTAAGTAATTTTCAAGTGGCTTCACTTTGCTAATCTCTTTACAACAAGAAACATGCTTCAGTCTGATCTGCCCGACGTCCTGCCTTGTGTCATTATGCGCGTCATTTTGTCTCACTTTCTCCAACCTCTGCAATACGTGTCGCCTCGACATCGACGTGGTATCACAAGCAAAATGTGTATTGCATGGCTTCCAGACAACGCACCACTTAGGAGGTGCGACGACTGTACCAAGCCCGATAAACTACTGAGGCATCTAACAACTCTCCATTTTCATCCCCGAACACTTGAATGCATATTTCAGAGGCACGTAGAAGCATCCTGTCACTGGAGGCA